AAAAGACCTTTGAGGTCATCCGCCAGACCACACCCAGCACAGGCATTGCTTGGGAACACCCCGGTCTCTGGTCTTCCAGGGTGATGGAACTTTGCCCGGGACAGGACGTTCACCATGCCACAAGGCAGCTCTCCTGGTTCTAGAGCATTCTGATGGTGGGTAAATCCTTCTGCACATGCCGCTGAAATCTGTTACACTATCATTTCCATTCATTGATCTGGTGGCCTTGTCTTTTCCCACTCAAAGCCACCTTTAAATATTTGAAAGCAGCCTTCATGTGCTGCAACACTTACTTCTTTCTTCAAATGTCCCCTGAATGTTCTTGCAAGTATTCTTTCTGCAGGTGATATTTCTTCTCATTTTCATCATCTTGGTAAGCCTCCTCTCTTAAGATCTATTTCTTGAAGTAATGTATTATGCAGTTTCACTAACCAATCTTATCTGCACTTTGAGGGCTATGTATTAGCAAATATTTCCAGAAATAAAAACTAAGAGATAGTGAGTACAATTGCTTACTTAAGGAACTAGCCAATGGGGAATTTAAAACTAAGTCTGTCTCTTTCTAATCCACCATGTGCCTCTGGTTAAACGAAAAATTTTGAGCTGATGATAGTCAAGTTTGGTCTCAGATACAGTCTGAGATCTGTTGCATTCCACTAAATGCCCCCACCATGCCAGTTAATGTCTCTTTTGTTGCTACAACTTGTGCTCATTAATAGAGATTAGTGGGAATTTGAACAATTAGGAAATGACTAGCAAGCAAGTGCTGCTGAATGACCACATTGCCACCCAATGTGGTCATGCAGGAGGTATGGAGATAACAAGATGGATACACAGCAGGAAGCAAGAAAGAAAAATTCTAGATGTCCAGGAGGTATTTCATCTGGAAGCTTCAGAAGATGGAGGAGTGAGGAAAGAGTTGAAGAGAACCAAAGTGGTCACTTGAGACTACCTAAGCTGTTAATTTCTGCCTAGGCCTGCAGGTTGGGCCTGGAGAAGAAAAAAGCAAGTATTGGTCTCCCAGCAATCTACGCACCCTACGGGAGCACAAGGCTTGGGGAAAATGATACTATGCTCTGCCCCAACCTTTGATTCCTGGCAAAATCTGGCTAATACACAAATCCTTAGGGGAAAAAAAGAGGAAAATCCCACATGTAGTCAGAAAGGGAGCCCTGTGCTACGGTGAGGATCAACATAATAGGACTGGTTCTGTGTCTACAGGCTTCCACATTTTCCTGCACCACTAGGTAAAGCCAATTCCTTTCTTTCTGTCTGCTTTCCAAAAGCAGAGGCTGCTTAAGGATGGTACTGCCTCCCCATTCAGCTTCCCCACTTCAAGCCCCCAAATTAATAGCTAGGAGATTCCTCTATGTCACAGGACATGCTCCCGAGGAATCATTGTCACACTGTGCTCTGGGGAAATGTACCAAAGGACAACATTAATATCTATAGCTGAGTACATGAGCATAGTAATGAAATAACTTCCCTGAGACTCTTTGCTGCTCTGACACAGAGAACTTCAGAGAATTGTCTTTATATTATCATGCTACATGAAAGCAGAGGTTCCCTAGAAAAGCAGAGTTTCTGCTCTGTGCACTCCATGAAATCAAGGGCTTCTTTCCCCTGTAGCTCTGTCTTGTTTACTACTTGAAAAAAAAAATCGAGGTTTGGGAAAGTTTGTGGATTCACCTACAGTCACCTGGCAAGAGAATTGTAGGGACCGGAGCAAACTCAGAGTCCCAGAGCACAGCTCATCTTTTTCCTACTTTGCTTCTGATGTCTTTACTTGGATGCATCAACACTTATTAGAGGGCAGGCTTCTTTGGGTTTTCATTAAGGAAAAGCAGGGTAGAGGATGATAAAATGTCTTCCACATGGGGAGTTGCATGGAGCAGGAACCACATCTGTGTCATTTGCTATCACAATCCTAGCACACAGGAATCTGCCTAGCATGGGCAAAGTGCACAATATTTATTTGCTGAAAAGCTAATCCCTGACTTGGAGTGGTGAAGAAAGGGAACACTGATGGGAAATCACCCAAAGAGAGAGAGAGAGGCTACCCACAAAAACACAGAGAAATAGATTCTAAAAGGTGTGGCACATCACAGGTACTCAAAATATTTGGTGGGTAAATAATCTGACAAAGCCTCAGAGAAAAAAAGTGAGAGCAAATGTTATAGGGATCGGGAAGCTCCTAGAAACACATAGATCTCGTTCTGATAATCAATTCAGGTTCTTCAGGCAAGGTACACATTCGTTCATTCATTCATGAATTCAAGTAACATTGACTGAGCACAAGCTATGTGCCAGGCATTGTGACAAGTGCCACAGATTCAGAAATAAGAGACCAATAACTCCTCGAGGAAGAGAATAAATACAGCAACTATCATTTAATGTACTAAGGGCTATGACAGAAGTATTTTACCAAGTGCCATAAAATCACAGACCTGGAGGGTGCTCAGCAGGCAGTGGATAAAGGGTAATGAGGGTACAAATCAGGCTGTAATGGGTAATTGGGTGGAGAAGATAAATGAATGGAGGTATCCAGGCAGGGAGAACAGCATGCCCAGACATGGGAAGGCAGTAGAGCGCTCCCTTGCTGGGAAAATGGAAGCATTCAGTACAGTTGAAGATTCAGGTGGTGAGAGCTGATGCTGGCAGAACAGAAGAAACAGGCCTTGAAAGTCTCATCTACCCTCCCTCAAGTCAGTGCTTGATCACCCAGGAATCTGGGTAAAATGCACATCCTGTAAGTCTGGGGACAACAAGCTCCCAAGCAACACATGAAGCAGTGGGTCCCCTGACTACAGGTTAGGTACGTGTCTGTAAACAATGGAATACAATGACGTATTTCACTGAGAAAAGTGACAAGATCTAAACTGCATTTTCCCAAGAATTCTGTAGGACATGGAAAATGGACTGCAGGATAGGTATAATTGGCTGATATTCTATGAGGTTGGTATAAAATATTTCTCCCAGAGGAAAAGCTGGTTATGAGGATAAAATGAAATAAAAATAAAATCATAAGGCCATTCCTCCCAAAATCCAAAACAATACCTAGTGTTATTGGAATACGTGTTGACCTTTCTCTAGGTCTCAGCTAACAAATCACCTCGAACAAACAGTTGCCAAAAAAGAGCAGCCAGATAAAGGAAGGGTACTATCTTTACAATCAATTAACACAACAGAATAAATAAAATCAGATTTCTCAGCCATTACCTATAACAAATTTCAGGAAACCTTGAGGAGAACAACTATTTCACAGAAAATTGTGGAAAATAATGCGAAAGTCCACCATATCCCTGAACAAAGTGCTTTTATTTTACTTATAACTCATAGGTACCCCCAATGGGAAACACCTTTTTAAAATTTCTATTACCAAACCCTCTTTCAATTTTAATACATTTTTAACTAAAAAGCTCAGAAATTAATTTAAAAAATCATAGTAGGATTCTATATTATTAAAAAAGGAGTTGGCAAACTTTTACCCCTTTTGTAGAAACCAAAAATACAATTCCTAATGAGATTTTGCCCTCCAAAGAAAGTAAAAATTGGCTTCTCTTTGTACTATGTTGGTTGGTATTCTTTACCCAAAGATGTACAGATTCAAAAAACCCAAATTTCATCTCCTTTTCGCTATTTTCCTTCATATTCACATAAATCAGCAAATCTCCACAGGATACATAGCTTGAAAACGCAAAGCCAACTGAAAGGGCTACATTGGATATTCACAACTAGCTCAGAGCAGCTTGATTCACATTCAACAAGACAAAGCAAAATTGTGCAGGTGCCTACCTTTCTCTTCTAGGCTTTTTAGGCTTTTGAAATGCAGTCCTGTACTGGAGATCTTCCCCAAACCCTTTAGTTGAGGTGAAACTTAAGAGCGCCCCATTCAATCACACAACCAGAGAAGGATGTAAGTTTCACAAGACCAGCCTTCAGATACTCAGGGCTTGCAGGATTCCAGACCTCGGAGAGCAGAGGTGAACTGCCTTCTGCTCTCTGCTGCAGGAAAGAGCAAGGAGACACAGTGTGGCTGGAGGTGGGGGCGGAGGCTGGGAGAAGGGAAGTAATATGGGGACTGTAATAAATAAGAGATCCTCTCCACATGACTTCCTGTATTTGGTGCCTCGTGCCTCTCTCTAGGCTCCCTAGAGGAAATAAGAAATTTAAACTTGTTCTTTGACCACTGCAAAGAAGAGAATAAACATGCTGAGAACCATGAAAATGAGAATAAGCAGGGGGAACAGGCAGGGAGCTGACGGCCAGCTAGCTTTACCTTTCCCCAAGTGCTTTCTTCCTGAAGTTTCTCCAAGTGTTTAACTCTGCAAAAGTCAAGAATGCCCTCATCCTCTTCCACAGAACTGAAGCATATTCTGGCTATGGTCCAGATGTGGTTTTACAGAGCAGCTGGTAAGAGGCAGGTGAGAATAGGCTGAAGAAATCAGCTCCCCCATGCCTCAGGAGAGACCCTCTCTGCTCTGTCTTTGGGAAGTCTAGATATGCTGCTCCTAATCTTGGAAAAAAACAACAACATATTCCTGGGGCCATTTTACTTAGGGTTTAAAGAATTATTGGATGGCTACTATTCACAGATTGCTGGAAGTAGAACCCTCTACATAATTTTTAGGTCTTGGTATAAAATGAATATGCAAGATCACTCATTCAGAAATTTAAAATTGCAAGATGGAACAACAGGGCATTAAACAAAGGGTGGGGCCCTGCTGAGCACAGGTCTTTGTGCAACTGTGCAGCATGTGTACCCATGAAGCCAGTCATGGGCACAGGAAAAAGAAGGGATCCTGGGGTGCATTGACTTTAACAGACTGAGTTGTCAAGTGACCTGGACTATCTCCGTTTTGGTCTATGGGGTAATGATCAATGTATTTGGAGACTGATGCAAAGTGGTGGGGGTGGGGTGGGGGTGCTGAGCTATGGCATAGCCTGCAAATGCATCACTGACTTAAAATCACTCCATTTGGTCCTTGTCAATGACTCACCTCCAGTCTATGGTCCTCCCAGCAGCCAGGGTAATCTCTGTCAAGAGCTGTCTTCATGATTAAGAGTTCCATGCTTAGAATCTTCTATTAGCTTAAGGATAAAAGCCAAATACTTTAACAAGACACGAGATAGCCTTTCTTTCTTCACCTCAGGGTACCCCTCCACATGTCCTTTCTTCAATCCCCTTCACAGTTCCTCCTTCCCCATTTATGAATGAAGAATGTTCCCTAACCCCAGCACTCAGTCCTTTGACTCTTACATCTTCCAGAATGCATTTTCTGATTTCTGGGCCCCTTTAGCATTCTTCCATAGCAAATCATAGTTATCTCTCTCATCACACTCAAAGCCAGGAAGCCTGTTTGTCCCTCTGCCTCACGGGCTGTCACTCCATGAGGTCTTGGACTGAATCTGTTTCAGTGTTATAGCCGCAGACCCAAGGCCCAGAAGTGTTTGATTTGTGTAAATTCAGGCTTAGTAGGAGGAACATTGTTAATTACAGTCACCTATGAACTTTAGAGGAAAGAAAAAAAATAGGAAAACACACATTTGTTGTTAGCGTTTTATAGCTTAAGCTCTGGCTGACAAAGCACAGCAACTTCACAGGGGACATTGTTTTAATATTTGCTAAGATGCCACCATTTGTCACTTACTGTGCATTACTTGTCTCATGTAAACTGTTAAGAGTAGGTGATGGGCTCCGTTCAGAAAACGAAGCCTCAGCCATGCCCACAAGAAAGAGGACTGACAGTAGTAAGGGTGAAGGAAATGTCAAGTTGTTGGAGGTGAGAAGAGAAGGAGAAAGAAGGGAATATCAAATGGAAGAGTGAAAAGGGAAAAGGAAAAAATAGGGGTAGAAGAAGGGGAAGGGGAATAAAGGCAGGAGAGGCAGGAAGAAACATGGGGTGGGCAAAGGTTAGAAAACAATGAGGTAGTGGGGAGGGGGAAAAGCAGCATGGACGGCCAGCATTTCACCTAGAAGCCCTGCACCAAGGCAGGCTCAGCACTTCCTGATGGACTCTCTGCACCGGTCCCAGCTCCCAATGAATCAAAGTGCAGAAGGGGGTCTCAGGACACATCACAGTGCTGCTGTTACAACACAGAAATTTGCATCTGCATTTTGCTTGAACTTTAAAACATCATTAAAGCCACAGCATCATTTGTCATTTCTCAGTTTTTGAACACTTCCATAACAGGGTGCCATTAGAAGTTCCCAGCAGATGTTCTGATTCCTTCTCTTGGTTCCTGTGAATCAAGGGTTCATTTTGTGTGTTCATAAAGGCTGTACATGGCTGAGAAGCTCCACTTGAGTCTGCCCGATTGAAGTACCAGTACCATGATGGAGACCCATGTGCACCTCTATAATCAAATATGTGTAACTCTGAATATTTTGTTTTGTGAACAGAACTGAGGTTTGATACATACATCATCTATAATAAAACAGACATATTTATTAAATCAGTTATTTGAATTTTCTTCATGATGTCTATGGGTATTACTTCTATTGGAAATGGAAATGTTAGGCTTTGAAATGGAAATAAACAACGGATTATCCTGTCCACAGGGTCTAGCAGACCCTTTGATGGAAGCTGAATGTATAGGTGTGTATGCTTTTAATTATCTTTGTCTATTTTATAATCCTGAAAGATGCAGAAAGTAACAATGATACAAAAGATTATTTTTCATAGAAATGCAAATCAATTTTGTTTGGTAGAGATATAAATGACTTTCAGTCCGTATAAATTATTATTCCAAACATTATATTTTAGTGCATTAAAATAAGTTATCTAGTTTTGCATCTACTAGCAGGTTCCTAGTTGTCTGTGTATAAAGTATAAATATGTTTTCTCTTTTGACATTTGCTTGTGGAGGAGTTTTAACATCATACTCTCCCTTTATTAATTCATGAGTTAGATAAACTCTCTGTTGCATGTTTATTTCATATTTGTACCAGTTATTATTTCATCTTCTAAAAAATTATCTTTTTACACAAGGCAGGTGATATACAACACTGATAGCCAGTTGTTTCAGGAATTTGAAATGGCAGAATCATTTTATTAAATAGTTTGATTAATTGTCTATGTTCCCTGAGTAATTAAAATAAAAACCAAATAAAATAAACATGTTGATGATCAAAGTAAATGATGGGAGGACAAGACTGCAAGATAGAGGTTCCCAGCACTCACCTTGTCCTCTCTAAAGAGGAACCAAAGCAACAGGTGTATAGCTGCATTTCAAGGTAGGGGACTGTGGCAGAACACTGAAGATCAGCAAGACGATAATCAAAACTTGTGAAACTCAGACACCTAGAATAATAGCACAGAAAGAGAAACCCTGTCTACACAGCTGGGAGAAAGGAGTCTCTCTTTGGCAGGAGTAAGGATCAGAGAGAGAGAGTCCCCAGAAAATTGTCAGTACAGATGTTGGCAATAGTAGTTAATGTAAAGTCCAAGTTCACGCAGACTTGCAGCCCAATTAGATAAGTAACCTGAAATCTACACGGTAGCCCTGCTTTGGAAAAGGCTCTCTCAGGGAATCTGCAGGTTGCTGTGGCCAGGAGTCATTTTGATCAGGAAGACTGGACGGCTTCACTGCTAAGTTTCTCTAAATATTTAAAGGACAACAAATGCCAGTTCTTCTGAAATTATTTCATAGAATTTAAAGGAAGGAAACCCTCCTAAACTCATTCTATGAGGTCAGCATTACCCTGTTGCCAAAATCAGACAAAGACACAATTTAAAAAAAGAAAGAAAACTATAGACCAATATCTCTAATGAATATAGATGCAAAAATTTTAAACAAATCAGTAGCAAGGACAGGTTCAGTGGTGCACATCTGTAATCCTAGTGACTTGGGAGGCTGAGGCAGAAGTATGTGAAGTTCAAAGCCAGCCTCAGCAATTTAGCAAAGCTCTAAGCAACTTAGCAAGACCTTGAAACAAAATATAACCTAAAATGGGCTGGGGAATGAAGCTCAGTAGTTGAGTGTCCCTGGACTCAATCAATCCCTGGTACAAAAAATAATCATTCACCATTGATTTCATCCCAGGTACACAAGCCTGGTGCAACATATGCAAATCCATTAATGTCAACATCATATCAACAGAGTGAAGGATAAAAATCATGCAATCATCTTAATGAATGCAAAAAAGCACTTAATAAAGTTCAGCATCTCTTCATGATAAAATCCCTGAACAAATTATGCATAGAAGGATCATACCTCAACACAATAAAGGTTATATTTGACAAACCTACAGCCAACGTCACAATGAATGGGGAAAAACTCAAAGCATTTTCTCTGATATCAAGAATAATATAAAGGTGTCCAATCTCATTACTTATTCAATACAGTATTAGAAATTTTAGCCAGAGCAATCAGACAAGAAACATGAATAATAGGTATACAAATAGGAAGTCACATTATTCCTTTTTGCAAATGATAAAGCTTTATATATATTATATATAAAATATATATTTTGTGTATATATATATATATATATATATATATATATATATATATATATTCCTAAAGACTACTCTCAAAGGCTATGAATTCAGTAAAGTAACAGGATACAAATTCAATATATAAAAATTAATACCTTTTCTATATACCAATAATAAATTTGCTGAAAAAGAAATCTCATTTATAATAGCTAAAATAAAATAAAATACCTAGAAATAAAATTATCTTTAGAAGTGAAAGACTTCTAGAATTAAAACTACAAAAAGTTTTAAAAGAAATTAAAGAAGGAGCTGAGGGCATAGCTCAATGATGGAGAATGTGCTTAATAATCACAAGGCCCTGGTTCTAAAAAAAAAAAAAAAAAGCAGAAAGAAAGAAAAAATTAAAGAAGTCACAAAATTATTGAAAGACTTCTCATGTTCATAGATTAGAATAATTAATATTGTTAAAATTTCCATCATACCCAAGGAAATCTCTATCAAAATACCAGTGGCATTATTCAAAGAACTAGAAAAAAACTCTAAAATTTATATGGAATTCCAAAGACAATACACTGAATAAAAGCAGAAGCAAGAGAATCATAGCCTTTGGGACAGGAGTCCCCCATGTTTTTCCTTTACTAGCAAAGCAATAACACTTCTTTTTCCTTTTTCTCAAAACCATGTCCTTGTTATTAAATTGGCGTCAGGAACAAAGACACAGCTCTTGGCAGGCAACAATTTGGCACCCCAGATGGGACCTGAGAGAAGCCCCCACTCCAGCTTTCTTGGGCAGGCCTGACTCCCCAAGGAACCCCACTTCCATGCTGAGGATTCATGGTGCCATCAAACTTGTTGAGAGCCAGCTTCAGGATAATTAGGACACACATGAGTTTGCCTTGTGTCAAACCAGAGGAGCTATTCCTATGAGTAAAGGGAGGGACTGAGGGACCATCCCAGTAGCTGCCTGCTTCAGGGAACTCCATGCCTTCTCTCTCGAATGATACAGAGTGCTCCATCGTGGTCCACTTTGATAAAAAGGAAACTGAACTCAGTAAAGTTGTGACACCCTTGGCCATTTGGTAAGTCCCCCAATATTCACGCCACAACCCTTGATTCCACACATCTGGTTCCTCTTCATGGGAACATCTGATCCCTCTTTATGGGGACATCTGTGCAGCCATTGGTGTAGGAGTCTTGGTTAACTGGTACTCGAGAACCTAGGGATCCTTGTGATCTGTTCTAGGTACTCATCTGTGTGTTGGCCTTGGGTTTGGGAATTCCCTCTGGTTGTCTATCTGTGTTTTGTTTTGTTTGTATCTGTTACTGCCCCTTGGCCAATACTGCATTGATCCTATAGGTAGTCTCTTGGGAAAGATCTTGACTGGTCAATTTAAAAGTTCTCATCTGTTAGCCATGGTTTTGAGGATCCTCTCAGGTTGTCTTTCTCTGTATTTTTTTGTTGTTGTTGTTGTACAATTTTGCAATTGGAGTTGTTCTGTCAGAGGAAAAGTTAGTTGAAAAGCCATCTATAGGAATAAGCCTGTGTGAGATAATGTTTCACAGTAATTATCTGGCTTCTTAATAGCTTTCTGGATTATTATCTTGCAGTTGGAGTTGGTCTGTCAAAGTTAAAGAAAGTGGAACGTGCAGGTCTGTCTGTTTTATAGGCTCCCATCTGTTGGCCCTGGTTTTGGTGATCCTCTCTCATCTGTGTGTTTTGTATCTGTTACTGGCCCTTTAAGACATGGACCATGCTGTGTTGATATGACAGGTAGTCTCTTGAGCAGGGAGATTTGACTGAATGAGTGGCCCTTAGTTATAAGCCCATCAGACAGAAGGTTGGTTTACTTTAACACAATCTGGCCTTTGGATTATTTTTCTGGATGATTATATAATCTTGACATTGAAATTGGTCTGTCATGGGTAAA